GACGGTAGCTTGATATACCCAGGGTCACTAGTGATGGAAGCATGATCTACCCAGGGGCACTAGTGACGGTAGTATGATTTACCCAGGGTCACTAGTGAAGGAAGCATGATCTACTCAGGGGCACTAGTGACGGTAGTATGATTTACCCATGGTCACTAGTGATGGAAGCATGATCTACCCAGGGGCACTAGTGACGGTAGCATGATCTACCAAGGGTCAGTAGTGATAGAAGCATGATCTAAACAGGGGCACCAGTGATGGTAGGATGATCTACACAGAGGCACTAGTGACGGTAGCATGATCTACCCAGGGGCACTAGTGACGGTAGCATGATATACCCAGGGGCATTAATGACTGTAGCATGATCTACGCAGGGGCATTAGTGACGGCACCATGATCTACCCAGGGGCACTAGTGACAGAAGCATGGTCAGCCTAGGGGCACTAGTTACAGTAGCACGACTACCCAGGGGCTAAATGGTCATGGTCCGTCTGCAGCGCCTGTATTCCCGGACTAACGATTACTTTTCTAAAGTTGGAACCTGAGAGACGTGAAACAAGGAGGATCTTCCTCCATTGTGGTCAGAAATCAGGAAAATCCTCCTTCAACTGTAGCCAGAAATAAGGAGGATCCTCCTTCAACTGTACCCAGAAATAAGGAGGATTCTCTTCCATTGTAGCCAGAAATAAGGAGGATTCTCTTCCATTGTAGCCAGAAATAAAAAGGATCTCATTCCACTGCAACCATTTTCCTTGTTTATAACAACAGGCCATCACCGTTTTGTATTATTGTTGCAGTTAGTGTGATTGTTGTAGTTTTAACGTTATCACTACGTGAAAAATGATCATACTTAAAGCTGATGTAGAGAATCTTATCGTCATGATTAATAATTATTGTATAACGCTGAAGATGACTTCATGCAATATTATTATATACAAGTGTTATAAACACCGACCAATAATACAAGACAGCTACACGAAGGAAAAATAAAAGGAGAAGAGTAGTATTGTATATTTTGATCTTGCGCTAAGGCCTGGCACTGCGGCCTCAACACAAACCTCACACTGATCCCAAACTATGCTACATTACTCTTATTCTCTCTTTTATTCTCTCTCTGCTATGATAATATAAGTAACAATGGTTAATAGCGACACAAATGGTATTATTATAATTATTATTAGTGGTATTATTATTATTATTATTATTATTATTATTAGTATTAGTAGTAGTAGTAGTATTGTTATAGTCATGAGAGTTGTTAAATTCATAAGGGTAATAGAGCAATATACAAGTACAAGTAGGAGTTTTAAACATAAAATATATTATGTACCAGGTTAATGCCCTATCAAGACCTTCGGAGGTCTTAATATAACACAAATATTCCGTCCCATGATGGTCAATCAGCACAAGGACTAGAGGAGGTTTGAGCCTCTCTCCGCTAATCGTGAAACAGTCAGCTTAATAATATTCAACTAGTGTTCGACACACACGAGTGAAGCTAATACGATAATCCAACAGAAAACGAAAATCATTGTTAAGTTAACAAAGACAAGGATATTCGTGCAGTCTGTGTTCTCCAGAAACGCCTTGACGTCTAGTTACCTGGACAAAAGAACTTCTTCCCATCGCCCCCGTATTCAAGGTCACGGGGACATCCCAGAGAGAGATCAATGTAGACTAGGGTGGAGGTCACGGCAGGAAAGCCTTTGTGTAATGCAGATTGGGTACGACCATGAAGGAATTTTGCAGGTCGACTAGATAGGGGTACGTACCCTCGGTGGCGTGTTATGGCGGTGGCTGGTAGTGGGTTTTCGTCAAGAAAAACAGAATGTTCCCTGGTGCTGGTATAAGATGTATGATGACATTCTCAGTGATTAAGCAATCGTTGGCATACTTGTCTTGGTAATTACCAGTGATTAATCAACTGTTGGCGTACCAGTGCGGTCGCTGTACTCTGGTTGGCTTTACATATTGCGATACTGATTGTGTGTGTGTGTGTGTGGTCAATTAAGAAGTAGCGAGAGATTGTCATGATAAAGGCAGGAAACGAACATATTAAAGATCATATTTGACAAAAACGAGAAGCCGAACAGGGATGCAAGATGGTGAGCACTTGTTGTGTTGAGGAACTCTGAATTACGTGAATATTACAGGGTACTCGGGATAATATGGTACAGACCCACACTTTGCCTCACCCCGACAACCTTACCCACGATGGTGCTGTCTCCTTTCCTCCTATTGTCGGAGCAATTTATATTTCCTTTAAGATGGTTCCTTCTACACATTATTTTGAATTCGGCACAATAGCGTTCCTGTAACTTTTTTTTTTTATTTGAGGATGACATGGATCTAGCATGCAGGTACAAAGTCGTTAAATTGTTGTTTAACCCTTAAGACTGATCAGTGAAAATTAATGATCAGACTTGTAATGACTACCAACAATTGGGCTTGACGATGAAATTATAGCGGTCTGAGATGGTGCTGTAATGAAACGATCAAGTTAATGTTCTTGACAGACCCTTAATGACAGCGTTCAAGGTCTTATTTTCCTGTCTTGATAAGTCTGTCCCGTTTCTTATTTCGTTACTGGCGATTTAACTAGATTAACCTAACTTAGAATAAGAAATATTTTTTTTATTTATATCGGTGGCATACTATCTAGGAATTTTAATGTGAGAGAATACTCCCGTTCAGTTTGCAAAACAAATGGGTTTAAAGTAATAAAACCTTTAATATAATGGCCGGAACCATTCATAAATAACACTTTGGAGAGACAACTGTAGACGTACCGAAGCGTCGTTTAAAGTTTCCTTTACGAAGTGTGTGTTATTTGTAAGAAAACCGCATTTAAACTGACCCAGGTGGTGTTGAGAACACTTCCACCTGACTCTTGGCCTCCACTTTCCCAGCCCTGAAACTGACTCAGAATCAAGGTTTATTCTTTGTCTTGAGACACTGGAGCCTGACGTCCCTATTTTTTAATTAGGATAATACTTTCTGAGACAATATTTTAGCTTTTTCTTTCGTCTTTGGACGACGAATATTACACACACACACACACACACACACACACACACACACACACACACACACACACACACACACACACACACACACACACACACACACTCGATACCATTCGACACAGCATTCCGATACCTTAGTAAGGAATCATTCAAGACACTGTACACCGTGTATGTCAGGCCCATACTGGAGTATGCAGCACCTGTTTGGAACCCGCACTTGATAAAGCACGTCAAGAAACTAGAGAAAGTACAAAGGTTTGCGACAAGGTTAGTTCCAGAGCTAAGGGGAATGTCCTATGAAGAAAGATTAAGGGAAATCGGCCTGACGACACTGGAGGACAGGAGGGTCAGGGGAGACATGATAACGACATATAAAATACTGCGTGGAATAGACAAGGTGGACAAAGACAGGATGTTCCAGGGAGGGGACACAGAAACAAGAGGCCACAATTGGAAGTTGAAGACACAAATGAGTCAGAGAGATAGTAGGAAGTATTTCTTCAGTCATAGAGTTGTAAGGCAGTGGAATAGCCTAGAAAATGACGTAGTAGAGGCAGGAACCATACACAGTTTTTAGACGAGGTTTGATAAAGCTCATGGAGCGGGGAGATAGAGGGCCCAGTAGCAACCGGTGAAGAGGCGGGGCCAGGAGCTAAGACTCGACCCCTGCAACCACAAATAGGTGAGTGAGTACACACACACGTAGATAAGAATAAGGTGATGAGAGTCTCAAACGAGTTAGGTAAGGAAAAAATGGATATCAGATTGGAGGGAGTGTGGAAGAAGTGAATGTGTTCAAATATTTGGGAGTGGACGTGTCAGCGGATGGGTAGATGAAGGACGGTGTAAACCATAGAACTGATGAAGGGAAAAAGGTGAGTGGTGCATTGAGGTATCTGTGGAGATTAAAGAACGTTCTCCATGGAGGCCTAGAGGGGAATGTATATGAGAGTATAGTGGCGCCAACACTTTTATGTGGGTATGAAGTATGAGTTGTGAATGTTGCAGCGAGGCGGCTGGGGGCAGTCGAGATGTCGTGTCTTAGGGCAATGTGTGGCGTAAATATTATGCAGCGAATTCTTAGTGTGGAAATTAGGAGGAAGTATGGAGTTATTAAATATATTATTCAGAGGGCTGAGTAGGGGTTGTTGAGGTGGTTTGATCATTTAAAGAGGATGGAACAAAATAGGATGACCAGGAGGGTGTAAACATCTGTAGTGGAGAGAAGGCGGGGTAGGGGTCGTCCTAAGAAAGGATTGAGGGAGGGGATATAGGGGGTTTTGAGTGCAAGGAGCTTGGACATACAGCAGGAATGTGTGAGCGTGTTAGAAGTGGAGAAATGGTTTTTGGGACTTGAGCTGTTGGAGTGTGAGCAAGGAAATATTTTGCGAAGATATAGGGAAACTGGTTAGCTGGACTTAGGTCCTGGAGGTAGGAAGTAAAGTCTGCTCTCTAGAGTAGGGGTTTGGGATATTTACTGTTCAGAGTAACATCTAAACTTTCGTATCTGCGTGCCTCTGGCAAGACAGTGATAGTGTGAATGATGGTGGAAGTGTTTCTTTTTCGGTGGGAGACGGCCAGCGTGTTAAATAATTATATATATATATATATATATATATATATATATATATATATATATATATATATATATATATATATATATATATATGTATATATATGAAAAATATTCATAATAGTGGTATTTTTTTTTTCAGATTTGCAATCACGCGTTTTATTGTGATTTCTTCCATATATATATATATATATATATATATATATATATATATATATATATATATATATATATATATATATATATATATATATATATATATTAATAATTCAGAACGAACGGACAAGTCATATATAGTTCCTTCACAGTTAACTAACATAATTTTGATGTCTTGGACTTGTTTTAACTTAGCAATGTTTTCTCATCAACAATCTCCAGTAATGTTTTTTTCTTTCCCACAGGCAAAGAGGCGACGATCAAAAGCGTTCGAATTTTATGCAACAGTAATGATATCGTCGTCTCTATCGACACTTCCGATGCCTTTAATGGCATGATCTACCCGAAAGGACTGTCCAAGAATTCTTCATGTATGGCAGAGTTCAAGGAACAAACGAGTCCCATCCTCTACAAATTACCGCTCAAGTCCTGCAGCACCATGAGCTCAGAGATGGTCAGTTTACTTCCCTGTTTTGTATTCCAGGTTATGGCTGATATGAACACCTTAATGTCACTTTTTTCTATAATCTTCCATCGTGACCTGTACACCTGAATACCCAAGTGACTCTTGTTATTGTCGTTTTTATTCATCTCCTAATTATCAACAAATATTAGAATGCTAAAAAACGAAGGATAAACTAGGCAATATTTATTGGCATAACTGAGACAAAATATGATTGTTTGTTATGAGATATTCTGCGAACGAAATCTCAAGTAAATCAAACAAGTAAAATGTAATTAAAAATAAGTATAAACTCTTATAACAGTAATTCAGCATCGGGAATATAATACCAAAGAAAATAATTAATTTTTTAGTATATCCTTTAAATGAAGTATATTTTCATACATAGTTAAAAAGAGAGAATCATACAACATTAACTGAGACAGTATTTGTAGAGGCAACGAGAACATCTTAATAGGTGTTTCACCCGTGTGTTTCCTTAGTGTCAACACAGCCATCATGGCGGCATCCTACCCCTTCACTGTCTCTCTCCCCAGTCTTCGTGTTAATGTATATATACTGAATATTTACTTTAACTTTAATATATATATACTGAATGTTTACTTTCTAATTAAAGTATCCTTGTGTGCACGTTACATGCAGCTTTAATGGTCCTTTTTGTAGTCACTAGACCGTAAAAACCAGTTAACCAACCCAACAGTCTAGAGACCTCAGGGGAAAATCAGGAGTCGTTTTAGCGTTGACACTTAAATAGAATTTTTAATTGATGCTGGCTACTTCAGCGTTATCTGATAGTATATATTTGTGTTGTATGTTTATTTTTTTTACCCTGAATGATCTTATATGTGATTTGTATTCGTTTTATTAAAAATAGCTCTTAGTGATCTCCAGAGCAAAATTTCATAAGTTCCTGCCTTCCCTCCAGTCTTCATAATCCCTCCTACTGCTTCCTGCTTGAAGATTTACATACAAAACGACAAAGTCCACGAGCGCTTGGCATCGGTGGATGAACCCCATGCTGAGCGAATCCTTGCTGGGGAAAACTTGCTTCGAAAACCCAGTTCTTGGGAAACCCTGTGCTTGGGAAACCCTGTGCTTATGAAACCCCGTGCTCTTCCGATGGTCACTAACCTCCTTCGGTGTCAACATAGTTGCCTGGCATCAACACCAAAACCCCAGGAGCACTTTACACTGCTGCCTCTGTTCCCTAGCAGTAAATATTTATATAGGTGGCAGTCTCTCTACACCTGATGAATTAGACACGTGCAGAAAATGAACATCATCTGACTCCAGTATATAAAGAATCCATCTTCCTGCTCGTGCTTCAGATTCTTCAAGACTAAGGTACTGAACACCTCCCTCGAGGCTGAGGGACTGATTACCTCATCGTCCATTGTCTTCGTATATAATCTTTGTATTGAATAGAGAAAGCCACTCAGAATAAAAATACCCAGGTGTATCATGTGTGTAATTCATAAACTTATCGGCACTGTATATTTATTAATGTAATGATACTCCACACCTGCTGCCCCTGGTCACCTGTTAGAAAACAGATACCTAATTGTTACTTGGATGTTGTATGTCACGTCCTGGGAAAGAGAAAAGGAAGGATTCCAACGTATATAAGCCTTGTGTGCTTCTTTAGTTATCCTGGGTTACTATCCTTCCGGGGTCAAAAACAACCCTAATAATAATAAAGAAGAAGAAGAAGAAGAAGAAGAAGAAGAAGAAGAAGGAGGAGGAGGCGAAAAAGGAGAATCTACCGCACTCATCGTTAAGCCATTTCATGCCAGTCCCAATTTCTATTTAGTGCATTGCAGTAATGTCAGTAAATTATATTAATTGAGCATGTAACTTTTGCCGCTCATAAAGCCGTGTGTATTGTCTTGTGTTTGTAAGGCGGCTGTTTACATTACAAGGAGTGTGCTGCATGCAAATATTTAAATCATCGCCGAGTGAATAGCACATTACGTACGGTAAACGCGAGGCTTTCCTGACTACGTGTACGAGAGACAAACTATACTGTGTAACACATCATGCCAGTTAACATCTTCGAGCTTCACCTTCTAAGCAACTAGAGCTAAAGGCTGTCACTTTAAGAAATCTTCATATAATATTCAATTAAGCCCTACAAAATTGATTATAAAGATACAACTAATTTGAAAAAATTCTTCAATTGTCACTAAGAACGCACTTAGACGAAGAATAGAACAGACTGATTACAACAATACAACAGGAAGTCATAGTCACACACTACAGATTTTCTAGACCTTACTGCTGCCTAGTAAATGTGTTCTAAAATTTATAAAAAAAAATGTTGTGTAAGTCAGTCGAGCCAGAGCAGCAGCAACAGTTGTAGCTGCAGCGGTTGCAGTGATAGTAGCAGGATGAAGAGAAATGACAGCAGCAACACCAGGGACAACAGCAGCCACCATGTTAGCCCCACAGGCTTTCCACTCTCCAAGTGTTAAAGTGGTGGAGGAGGGAAGGGAGCGGCAGAACGTAGTACCAAGTATTCCCACCTCACCTTGTTTGTTCTTCACATGCACACAAGAGGGATGATGGGGACGAGGCAGGTCTGGATTGTTTGGTAAGTACATTCACGTCCATTATGGGGGTAAATCTCCTCGTGACCTCTGTCTATCATCGCCAGGACAGACGCCTATCATTATGGTGGCCCGTGGCCTGGTAGGCAACACTCGCTTCACACGCTGAGTGGACGTGGTTCGATCCTCGGCAAGGGTAGAAACATTGGGCATGTTTCTCTACACCTGTTGTCCCATTCACTTAGCAAGAAAGTATGTACCCGGGTGTTAGTCGACTTGGGCGAGTCGAATCCTGGGGTACTAGATTGAGGACCCCATTTGGTTATCGTGGGTGGCTAACCCTCCGGGGTTAAAACTCTAAACAAAATTTTGTCTTACATTTTGTTTAGGAAAATCATTCAGTATATGATATTATCTTAATCTTATGTTGGATTTAACCATCGTCCCAATAGTCGTGGGAATAGCATGTTAGTACATCATAGGCATTAAAAGAGGTACAATCAAGAATTCTTACTGAGTTCACTGTTTTGCAAACACCTGCAGCTGGCACCCAAGTTAACATGTTTCAAAATTTTCATTGATAATTTATTGTTCATGTTCGCTATTTATATCTGGTGATTTGTCGCTTTTTATGCACCGATAAGTACCTGTCCTATCTAATCGGTATCTTAGTCTTGTTTCACTAAGTTTCATTTTTGTTGATCTGATTTCTTGTTGAGGAATATATGCTGTTCGGTAGCTGTTGGAACACGGAAGAAAATTGTTATTATTAGTAGTAGAAGTAGTAGCATTTACACTAAACTCGTAAGTAATACAACGTATTCTAAATAGGAACACGGAAGAAACTGAAACTGAAATGAAGATGTTCGGGGATTTTTTAAACACACACACACACACATACATACACACATACACACACACACATACATACATACATACACACACACACACACACACACACACACACACACACACACACACACATACACACACACACACACACACACACACACACACACACACACACATACACACACACACACACACACACATACACACACACACACACACACACACACACACACACACATACACACACACACACACACACACCCCACACACCACACACACACACACACATACAAAACACAACATACAAAACATACACACACACATACACACACATACCACACACATACACACACACACATACACACACATACACACATACACACACATACACACATACACACATACACACATACACACACACACACACACACACACACACACACACACACACACACACACACATACACACACACATACACACACATACACACACACATACACCCGAGATCTCTTTGTAAACTGTTGGTAGTGTGTGTTTTATCCTTGATGCGTAAAAATCACAAAACATGAACTGTGAATATGTGAAAAATGCTTTATAAAATTCTCTCCTTGGGCTGTGGCTGGAAAGATCGAGCCGCCTCCACTTTTTTTTTTTTAACGCTGCGTGACCTACATGGGTTTAGCTATTCATTGAATAATAGTAATAATAATAATAATAATAATAATAATAATTATTATTATTATTATTATTATTATTATTATTATTATTATTATTATTATTATTATTAATAGAGGCTCTGCCTGGAAACATCAGCGCCCGCTGTCCCAGCAGCTTGGGAATGAGAGGCAATCAGGGTTCATCCGTAGAAGGGTAGTCCCAATCCCTTGCATCAAGAACCTTTTACCAGCATCAAGGCACATCTCCCTCCCCAGTAGGATTAATGAAGGGGAGCATCACTGGGCATCAGCTCGTTCTCCAGAGAGGAAGCGGATTTTCTCACACGTATCAGTGCTTTAATTTCTGCACTGTAAGACAAGAGAAAAGCTGGTATGAGAGCAGTGTTGACCCTTTATTGTGACCACAACTTTACCTCCGTGGGAATGTTGTCATGTCCACGCCCCGGGGGTGAAGTGCCCACTCATTACCTGGGAATATTGTCATGTCCACTAATTACCTGTCGATTACACTCATACCTGTCTGTAATGATCATATATGTTGTAATGATCATATATTTTGAGTTTAACTCACTGATGCCGCAAAGAAAAAGTATAATTTATAGCCTCACTTCAAGATACATAAATAAAAGGTTAAATGATTTTTTATATAAATTAGTTTATTATATTACATTGGTAAATTCGCTTGATACTTTCTGCAAATAGCTTATATTATTTGTTAGAATGTTAGTTTGGTTTTATGTACAAAAGTATTTGCACTCTGATTACTTTTTTTCTAACACAAATGAGGGATGCTGCTTAACAAGTGTGTTCAGGAGAGTTTTTGCGAGTTAGGTTATAAGCTGTAAGATCTACCTTCTGAGGGTACTGGAAGCTCTTGTTTTGTGCCTCCAACATCTGCGTCAGCTTCCTTTCTAGGAAGCCTTGACGCTGCCGAAGGGCTCTTGATCTAAGGAATTGGGGTTATTTTCCTATTCCTTGGATCAAACCTGATTATCTACTGTTCCCTATGCGCAATATGACTCCTACACGTTTAGCGCTTCTCCATGAATATCGTAATAATCCCACAGCGCAACATCTATAGCTCAGGCGACCGACCTCGCCACCTTCAGGCTATGAAGGTGGCGAGGTAGATATAAGGTGATGATAGTTCCTGTCTTGTTAAGTAGGTGATGGTCATTATTTAGCTATCTGTGTAGTATATATGACAAGGGTTATGGGCCGATGCCTCTTCCCCTCCGTAATGTGATGACATATCACAAGATGGCTCAAGTGTAGCTAGTAGATTGACTCTCCCTCTTTCATCCCTTCTGTGTGACGCCAGTGTGGTGAACTGACTTCTCTCTCTTCCCAACAGGAGGACGGCATCGAGTACTTCAACACGGTGGTGGTACAGCCACACAGGAAGCTGGTCACCAATCAGGGACGAGGCTACCACATCCGTTGCAAGTACCAGACCCAGGAGAAAACCGTCACCAATGCCTTCAATGTCAGGTACTTCACTCCTGCTTCAACCACACAAAAAATGTACTGTACGAACATGCTGATAAAACCCATACACTCACACAAAACGAGCAATATATACACACCCTGCAAACACACTATCTCGAGTAGAATTTCTATTTTGTCATCTGAAGTCATTAAATATCGGAGCCGCTTGTTCATTCCTTCTTTAGATGTCGAATCTTATTCTGTGGTGCCGTTAACCCGAACTAGTAATGTCAATTATAACATCTACAATGAATATATTTTATAACCTAACTTACGTTTTTAAGCTACGGGTGCATCCTCGTATTAAAAAGAGGCAAATGTATTTATCTCTCTTCGAGCGCATTCTTCCTTGAGTAAAAGATCAAGTGGGTTAAGATTGTCTCAAACCATCGTAGCTGGTACATATTCTGTTAGTGTCACTTTCACTTTAAAGAATTATCCAATTTTTAAGCTTTTCAATTTGTCTTTTTTTTTACAGCTTAATCGGGTCTGCTTTTAACGCTGAACATTATTTACCTCTGTCCTCATTGATACTAAATAAAAACACTTCAAACGGTAAGCATAGCCTTGAAAACGCTGCATCCCAACTTTAGAATAATCGGCCTATTACTGACATTTATATAAACAATATGACACCTTGCATAAATGGAATAAGCAGTCTGGAGAATTCTCAAACTGTAATGGACAAAATAAATCTACTTATGATTGGTCTTTCGGTATTGGACAAATGTCTAATCAACCGCTTACAAAAACCACGTCATCAACGTTTATTCCAGTAAACAAGCGAGTAGTGAACGTCTCTACATAATTTCATTATATATATATATATATATATATATATATATATATATATATATATATATATATATATATATATATATAATATATATATTCAAGTCGGCCGTCTCCCACCGAGGCAGGGTGACCCAAAAAAGAAAGAAAATACCCAAAAAGAAAATGCTTTCATCATTCAACACTTTCACCACACTCACACATAATCACTGTTTTTGTAGAGGTGCTCAGAATACAACAGTTTAGAAGCACATACGTATAAACATACACAACATACCCCTCCAAATTGCCAATATCCCGAACCCCTACTTTAAAGTGCAGGCATTGTACTTCCCATTTCCAGGACTCAAGTCCGACTATATGAAAATAACCGATTTCCCTGAATCCCTTCACTAAATATTACCCTGCTCACACTCCAACAGATCGTCAGGTCCCAAGTACCATCCGTCTCCATTCACTCCTATCTAACACGCTCACGCACGCTTGCTGGAAGTCCAAGCCCCTTGCCCACAAAACCTCCTTTACCCCCTCTCTCCAACCCTTTCGAGGACGACCCCTACCTTGCCTTCCTTTCCCTATAGATTTATATGCTTTCCATGTCATTCTACTTTGATCCATTCTCTCTAAATGACCAAACCACCTCAACAACCACTCTTCTGCCCTCTGACTAATACTTTTATTAACTCCACACCTTTTCCTAATTTCCACACTTCGAATTTTCTGCATAATATTTACACCACACGTTGCCCTTAGACAGGACATCTCCACTGCCTCCAACCGTCTCCTCGCTGCTGCATTTACCACCCAAGCTTCACACCTATATAAGAGTGCTGGTACTACTATACTTTCATACATTCCCTTCTTTACCTCCATAGATAACGTTTTTTGACTCCACATATACCTCAGTGCACCACTCACCTTTTTTCCCTCATCAATTCTATGATTAACCTCATCCTTCATAAATCCATCCGCCGACACGTCAACTCCCAAGTATCTGAAAACATTCACTTCTTCCATACTCCTCCCCAATTTGATATCCAATTTTTCTTTATCTAAATCATTTGATACCCTCATCACCTTACTCTTTTCTATGTTCACTTTCAACTTTCTACCTTTACACACATTCCCAAACTCATCCACTAACTTTTGCAATTTTTCTTTAGAATCTCCCATAAGCACAGTATCATCAGCAAAAAGTAACTGTGTTAATTCCCATTTTGAATTTGATTCCCCATAATTTAATCCCACCCCTGTCCCGAACACCCTAGCATTTACTTCTTTTACAACCCCATCTATAAATATATTAAACAACCATGGTGACATTACACATACCTGTCTAAGACCTACTTTTACCGGGAAGTAGTCTCCCTCTCTTCTACACACCCTAACCTGAGCCTCACTATCCTCATAAAAACTCTTTACAGCATTTAGTAACTTACCACCTATTCCATATACTTTCAACATCTGCCATATATATATATATATATATATATATATATATATATATATATATATATATATATATATATATATATATATATATATATATATATATGTCGTGCTGAATAAGTAGAACTTGCGATTTTGGCTTAAATACCAACGCTCTTCTTGTCGAATAAGGCAGGAGAAAATTTGTGTATGCAATAATTTCGCAAAAATCATTCTAAATCTAACGAGAAAAATATTTTTCATTGTGTTTGTTTATTATTAAATTATTGTAAACTTATCTAAAATATATTTAGCTGGATTAGTCTAAATTAAATTGTGCTTGTTATAATAAGGTTAGGTTAGTTTTCTAAAGTTCTTTTGGTACAAAATTATTAATTTTTACATTAACATAAATGAAAAATATATATCTTTAAACGTATAAGAGAAAATTTTAGAAATGACGTAATTTTAAATGAGTACTTGCTAATTGACTAGTTTTGCCTATTCTGCACGACATATATATATTAATGAAAATTTACCGTCCCTATAATTTTGCAAGCCTAAGTAGTTGGCTAAGCTCGTGTGTGCGTGTATCTTAGTTGCAGCAACTAGTAAGCGTACGAAGGAATCCGTTAAGTAAAGACCGGACATTATGCAAATATCTTGCCTCGCATCGATGCCAACCATGGAACTGCCAGAGCGTCGCTAGAAGACGGTTAAAAGTCGTCTTCAGAGCGGTACACGCCTGTTTTGGTTACTGGGGTCAGGGTTAAGTGTCGTATCCTGGCTTTGCCTGGGTTTATTTTCTCGTTGGCCCTATCGTGCTTATCCTTAAAGTTGTGTATGATTTCGGCCACCACTAGTTCATCCAGGTCATTGTACGCCTTGACCAACCTAAGGCTGAAGAAAAAAATATTTCCTGATATTCCAGTCGCTCATCGCGCTCTGGAGCCAATCTCTTTCCTAACAGCTGCCATATCTTATTATACAGAGAAAACATGCGTGTATAATGTAGGTATATATAATATATATATATATATATATATATATATATATATATATATATATATATATATATATATATATATATATATATAATATATATATATACTAAATAAAACAATGAAAATGAATTATTTAAAATATTTCGATATTATTATTTGAGGTGCTAAACCGTGTGGGGTAATTCAACACAAGATGTGAAGTTTGATCCTCTGTCCGCTAATCGCAAGACCCGAGGCAAGTACAGTGATGAATCAGGTTTAGAAAAATGCAACACATTAACGAGAGAGGCATTCCTTGTACTCACCTAATTGTGGTTGCAGGAATCGAGTCATAGCTCCTGGTCCCCGCCTCCACCTTGTATACAGAGGTGTGTGTCCGTATATATATACTGATAGGTGTATGCATCAGTGTATATATATATATATATATATATATATATATATATATATATATATATATATATATATATATATATATATATATATATATATATATATATATATCAATAGGTTGGATTACTTAGTATGTATACACTAAGATTTATTTTAATCTCAATTTTAGGGATAAAATTATTCTTGATGTAAATCTGCAGGTGAATTGCAACCTTAATGACCCACGTGAAGTCGCCCGGGCTATACCAGAGATGTATAATAAACCACAATACCGTGGTAGGAACAATTCACGACCAGCCCACAATACCTCGTTGTAGGTGGAGTAACTGACAACTAACTCACAAATAGCGAAGGAAAACTGGACGATGTTTCGGTCCGCCGTGAGCCATTATCGAGAGAGATGTATATAGAGGCTCAGTGCAGGTCGTGGTGAGCGGGCGTGGGTGGGTGGGCGGGCGGGCGCACCCTCACCCGCCCATGAAATAACCCAGGAAACCAGGAAGTGAAGATGACGAAGGTGTCTCCGCAGTAACGGGACGCCTCCTACCTTCTCTCACTCATGTCATGCTTAGTCTGTCTCACCAGGCTGTTGGAATACGTCTGTTGTACCAGGCTGTTGGAATATCTTACAAATGGAAACCTGGCTGTTAGTTTACATCTGTGAGGTATAAAGATATTCTTTCAGATTTCCCAGTTATTTTGTGCGTTTCTAGGCTATTTAGTTTTGGAATTAGTATCAGTTGCTTCGTTCAAATTCACCGACTTCTCGCACATTTGCCTATATGCTAATTTCTTTGCATTTTTTTTTTCATCTTTTATCGTCCTACTCTTTGCCCACTCTCCATTTTGTAACTATATTTAAAAAGGTCGCTGGAACCATTGTGGAGGTCATCAAGAGGAAACTATGTGCGCGATGTGCTAGATCAACCTGACTGTGATGGATATATGAACTGGCGAAGCACCAGCAGCAATAGTCTGGTCAGCCAGGCAGGCAGTCAACAGGGAGGTCTGGTACGGGCTGCGGAAGTAGGTAAACTTCCGAAACTGATCGCGGGTAGACAGTGAGATAGCGTGTGTTTCGTACTCAGCTGACGGAGGATGGAGCCTCCACCATCCCTTACCTGATTGATCCCCACTAGTTGAGCCCTTTTAGGCGCTAAAAGGGCTCATATGAATACATTTAAATGTACCATTCACGGACTGTCATTATTTATCTGTTACAAACTTATTTAGGATGTTTGCTCAGAATTTCGGATATAGTATTTTCTTAGCGAGGAGCGCTAAGACAGCCAAGCCATGGTAAGCTAGTGCAGGCGATGGCTGCAACATCCATGTCTCACACATCCATGACGTATGGATGCATGGGAGAGGTTGGAACTGGTTGGA